TTGCTACTCTGAAACCTATCCACTGATTAACTGCATTCTTACCAGTGATTCTACATATACTACCTTGTTGGTTTCTTCTAATATGATGGCGTAATGTCAATAAGGTTTTGTTTGGTTGCTTTTTCTTCTGGCAGGTAAAGAAGGCTTTCTTTGCCTTGGTGGCAAATGGTGTTCGAGCAGCTCCACTGTGGGAGAGTAAAAAACAGAGTTTTGTAGGTAAGGAGACCTGGTGTTTTTCAGCGGGGAGTTAATGTGGGGTTGTGTTGTGTTGGATATCCTGGAAATGCACCTGGTGGTGAGTTTTCTTACTCCTCCAGCAGGTTGACGTGTTGCTAATTCCTGTGACTTTATCGTGAGTCTCTCAAAACGTGGCAATTTTTTTTCTTCTTAGAGCTTCAGCTGCTGAATTCAGGTAGCTACATGAGAATCTCCACTTTCATTTAAAAATAAAAGTAACGTTCCAGATCTCATGGGTTGCAGACAAGAACTTGAAGACATGAACCACAAGGGCTCAAAAAACAGAACACACACTTTTTGAAATTTCATGATTTTGATGGGCCTGACTCATGACTTTTTAGAGCACTTGGGTTTGGAAATACTAGGTAAGCCTGACCAGTGAGATGTGGGGCCCCAACTGGTTGGTTGCTTTATCTTATGTTTACCATTCCAAGGGTTGGGAATTGGAGGGTGTAGCATGAGACCTCAAAGGCAGAATACTGAGGCAGGGACTTTCAGAGGCACCTAAGGGAGTTAGGAACCCAACTTTCAATGGATTTCAGTGGGAATTGGACACCTAATTCCCTTAGACTCTTCTGAAAATGCCAGCCTAAAAATCTAGCTGGTTTTCAGGGCACCTTTCAAATCCTTTTCATTTACATTTTAAATATATAAATATTCTCAGCAAAAAATAGCCTTTAAAAATCTTACTTGTCAGTTATTGTAAATCATCTCAAGAGATGTAGCCTGGGTAATGCTAGTTGTCCATTCTGAAGGAGTAGTGTTTCACCAACGTTTTAAGATTCTCTTTTCCAGTCTTAACTAATATACATAAAGGCTGACTAGCCCAATGAAAATGTTCTTCAAATTGGAAGCATTGTTTACTATACATACAGCTGGGCCAGCCATAAAGTCTACCACCTTACCTACTTATCTACTTACCTTCTTCACTGTCATCACTTTCCAATATGCATGCGTGACTGCACAGTAACATGGTGATGATCTCCTCGAAGGCTTTGATGTACATAGGGAAAAAAAATGTAGCGTTAAGCCCAACTACTTATTTGCGTCAGAGTCTACTATAGATAAAGTAAAACTCCCAAATTTGTGTATTACAGGTAACACGTAAAGAAACAAACTGGATTTATGTTCTTGTGTTGCTTTGTGGTGAATAAAGAAGGCCTAAAAGGTCTCTTTACCCCCATAAAAAGACGCAATCCAATTTTTTCCATTTAAATTAATTTACTTCACTGTCTTATTTTAATATCCTAGTAAGCTGTTCAGAATACATGTATATCTCAAACTGTGTTCTGTATGGATTGCAGAGCAAAAAAGCATTAAACACAGAACTACTGTGGAATGCTATAACTTAGGTTCATCCTGAGAGGGCTAGAAATTCATTTGGCTCCTTATATTGCTATTTAGAAGCCATAGCCGCTTTCTTTAACACTTCTCTAATTTTGGAATATAGCATTTTGTCAATATCACGTTTGAAAAACAGTATCATAGTGACAGTTATAAATACTTTCTGTGTAACCTAACGTAGATTGAGAGGTTCTTGGAAATAGATTATAAAGATACTTTATAAAGAACTTAATATTTCAAAGCCATGGGAAGCACTAGTAATTTTATGAAGAACTGTGTGCCTTGATCAATGCTGAATTTTGATTTCGGCTCATCTCAGATTTCTGGTCAATTAAAGTTGACTTCTAGAAATTGACATTTTCCCCCTGAATGCTTGTTCATATGCCTTTCAGGAGTTCAGCTGTAGGAGTAGTAATCAATCAGGTGGAATGATATTTGCTCAGTTTGTAGGACTTCAGTAAAATAAAAAAACGTTGTTTTTGATAACTTGGTATTACTGATGGAAATTGCATTATTCTATATACCTAAGGATCTGATGGACTGTCACTTAGCCTTTTAAATTCTAACTGGATATCTTTCCAGAAAATATGCTATAGTTCAAACAGAAGTTGTGATCTTGCTGCAGCAATTATTGAGTGATGTTGTTTGGCCTGTGTTATACAGGAAGTCAGACTGGCTGACCATAATCTCTTCTGGTCTTAATATCTATGAATCTGCCTACTGCTTATATTTTCTTTAAGTGAATGTTGGACTCACAAAAGAGACTAGTGGTGGACCTGAGTCCCAAACTGCATAACTGGATTTTGAAACCTCTCATCTTCCCCTCCCCCACCCTCCAAAAAAAAATGCAGGGGCAAGGGGGTGGGAGGCAATCCTAGTTCAGGGTTTTGTTTGACCTAAAATTGTTAGAGAAAAGGGCCAGCTGCAATATCCAGATCCAGGGGTTTGGTTCCAACTTCTACCAATACAGAGTCTATTCTTTCTGTTATAGTCTATTGTGTCAGCGCTAACTTGGAGAATTTAGTATGCACGCTTTTCAAATGATTGGCCATTTATAAAACTCTTGAAGTGTTGTGTTCAATTACTCCAATGTGAACTACACCAGCTTAGAAGTAAATATTTTAAAAAACATAAACCTACTTAAGATAATTTTAAGATGCCTTTTCTAAATGCTGTTATATTTTTTCCACTTGTTACAGGAATGTTAACAATTACAGATTTCATTAATATACTGCATAGATACTATAAGTCTCCAATGGTAAGTACCATATCAGGCTTTAATTGTATTATTAACAACCATAGCATGCATAAATGCAAATCAAAAGCATTGAAAATTTATTAAAATTTGTACAGCCTTTAGGAGCTTAACTTGCTATAGAAATGCTTTATTGTGCTTTTGAGAGAAAAGGATGGCTTTGTGGTCAAAGCACTGGACTGGGACTCTGGTTAAATTTCCAGCTCTGCCACAGACTTGCTGTGATCTTGGGCAAATTGCTTAGCCCCTCTCTGCCTCTGTTTCCCATCTGTAAAGGTGGGTAACATTTCTTTCCCATTTGCCTTTTCTAGTTATACTCTTCGAGGCCTGGACTATCTTGTGTTATGTGTGTATGGTGCCTGCCACAGGGGGGCCATCATCTTGGCTGGATCTAGATACAGAATCTTGGTTGGTTTTGAACTTTAGGCACTATTATAATCCTACTACTACTAAGACATCTTTTTTTTTTCTTTTCTTTTGGCGTAAAAGGTCTAATTAAACCTCAGTGTAAAATAGTGATTCTACGTAAAAGTGATTTAGTGTGAAAAGTACTTAAAAAAATATTTGACCATAGTTGTTTAGAGTTTTATTGTACATTTGATTCAAAATAAGAGCTTTGCACATGTTGAATCACATACAACATTATTCAGGTGGACAAAAAAAAGGGAGATTGGTGGGAGTGATGAGTTCTATAGATCGCACACTGATGAGGAAGGTGCTTGAGAGGCTCTGTGTTCAGGGCTAGCCCTGCCTCTCCAGCTCTGACAGTCATGTCATGTAGGAGGAGGGCTTTAAAGAGGAGGAAACTGCAGTTAGCTAGGGGGAGAGGTCACCCTGAGCAGGAAACAGCTGTAGCAACTCCTGAAGCCATGGGTGGAATTCCCATCTAGGAGATCTCCTCCCCCAACCCTATGGGGAGTGCAGTGAACTGCCTGGGTAAGCCTGACAGAGTGAGCCCAATTCAGCTACCCAGCCAGAAGAACTCCTAGAAAACTGCTACTCAAATAGCCCTGAAGTAAATAAGTATTGCTGGCCTTTTCCTCCGTGAGTTGGCTCTGGGAAGAAGTTAATCTTGGGTGCATTGAAACATTTATTTTCCTTTTGATCCCCCATCAGCAGAGACATAAGAAGCCCTGCAAAAGTGGGATCCCCTCGTGCAAGGATTAAAAACTGAGACCTATACATAAGCCACCCACTATAGATAACTGGGCATGGCCAGCGTCTCCCACCATCTGGAAGGAAAACCTAAGGGGACTTTTTTTACAGGGGGAATCAACTAAAATGGAGCAAGTAATTAAGGAAATCATCTGCAAACACTTGGAAGGTGGTAAGATGATAGGGAACAGCCAGCATGGATTTGTGAAGAACAAATCATGTCAAACCAATCTGATAGCTTTCTTTGATAGGGTAACGAGTCTTGTGGATAAGGGTGAAGCTGTGGATGTGGTATACCTAGACTTTAGTAAGGCATTTGATACGGTCTCGCATGATATTCTTATCGATAAACTAGGCAAATACAATTTAGATGGGGCTACTATAAGGTGGGTGCATAAGTGGCTGGATAACCATACTCAGAGAGTTGTTTTTAATGGTACCCAATCCTGCTGGAAAGGCATAACGAGTGGGGTACCGCAGGGGTCTGTTTTGGGACCAGCTCTGTTCAATATCTTCATCAACGACTTAGATATTGGCATAGAAAGTACGCTTATTAAGTTT